TACACAAAAAAAACAAATAACGCCCCCCCCCCCCCCCGTTCTCGAGGAATAGCCAGGACAGAATGAACAGTCCTTGGATTCATTCTATGTGTCAACCTGTCTGGTCACAGGGCCCCTGGACTAAACGTGACTCTGGGTGTGTCTGGGAGGGTGTTTCTGGAGAGATTAGCAGTTGAATCTCTGGACTGAGTAAAGCAGATTGCCCTCCCCAGGGTGGGTGAGGCTTGTCTAATCAGTTAAATGTCAGATTAGAGCAAAAGTTACAAGAAGGTGGAACTTACCCCCTTTTTTCCTGCCTCTCTGCTTGAGCTGGGGCATCTCATCTCATCTTGTCCTGCCCTTGGACTGGAACTTATACCATCTTGGGTCTCCAGCTTGCAGATGGCAAATCCTGGGACTTCTCAGTCTCCAAAATTGTGTGAGCCCATTTCACATAATAAATCTCAATATCCCATCCCACTGGGCAGCAAAGATCTGACACTACAACATCCCCTTCCCAGGTAAAGTACAGTGAAAATAAAAACACATGATTTAAGTACCCTCCCTTTTTTCCCAGATAGGGTATCTGCTTTCTTAAAGGAGACAGATAGTGAAAGATTACATTTGAAAATAGGGGAGCAATAGGATGTGCTTCCTTTTTACAGAAGAATTCTCCACGGGCTGCCTTTCTCCATCAAGCGCTACCTGGAAGTTTTAAATATTGAATTTATAAAGAGTCTCTTATTAATTTCCCCTTCCTAAAAGTAGCACGTGCTTTCTAAGGGAAATTTGGCAAAATGGAGAAAAGAAGGTGAAAAATGATTCTTCACACTGTAGCCACCTAGAGGTAACAACTGTTCACATCTGGGGCACAGTTTCACTAGCCCCTCTTTTTCCCAATGCATAGCTTTAGAAGGTTTCGGTTTGTTTGTTTTTTTAGTATATAAAAATGTGATTTCCATACCACTGTTGACACACAGATCTTGGATCAGTGAGGTAAACCTGGAGGAGAGGCCAGCCCCATGGGCTCCCTGCCTTCAGAATGAGGGTGAGAGCCCTGCAGGCGGGGGGCAAAGGTCCTGACAGGTGAGGATTTGGGTTTCAGCTGCTGCCTCTCAGGTGTGTGGGCTCCGGGAAAGATGGTAGGAGACACACACAGGACAGACGGGACAGACAGCGCCTCTGGTCTGGGACGAGGACTCGGGTTCTTTCTTATGTGCAATGGATGTCGCAGGTTTTAAGGCAGAAGGTGAGGTGGGAGGTGACCACATCTCTCAAGTGTGCCATGCGGAGAACAGAGGGGAAGGGGTGAGAGCAGCAGTGGGCGACCAGGCAGCAGACTCTGTTCCAGGTAAGACAGAAGGTGGCTGGGGTGGGAGAGGAGAGAACGAGCTGGAGGGTATATTCGTGCTTTCTCGCCCTTTGGCTGTGCCTCCACCTCCCCTGGGGTCTGTGATGCCCCCTCTGTGAGCTCTTTGCTCATTGTCTATGGGGTCCCTTCTTAGGGGCAGGGAGGAGGGGCACTGTGCTTGTTTCGTCGTCAATCAGGCAGCCCTTTCAGTTGAACTCAAGACAAAACACAGACTGGTTTTCTGCAGCAAGGATAGGGATACCCCGGAAAGTTCTGGGCCTCCCAGACTTGGAGGGTGTCCTGGGTTGAATAACATCCTCCGCAAAATGTCATGAGCACCTGAGACCGCAGAATGGGACCCTGTTTGGATAAAGGGTCTTTGCAGATGTGATGAAGTGAAGGATCTGAGATGAGGTCCTCCTGGATGAGGGTGGCCCTACATCCAGTGACAGGGTCCTTCCACGAGACAGAAGAGGAGAGACCCAGACACCCAGGAGAAGCCACGTGAAGACAGAGACAGAGACGGGAGGGAGGCGGCCACGAGCCCAGGGACGCCTGGAGCCCCCAGAAGCTGGAAGAGGCGGGAAGGACCCTCCCTGGAGCCTCTGGAGGGAGCGCGGCCCTGGGACACCCTGACCTCAGACGTCTGGTCTCTCTGTCACTTTGCACCCCTGCAGACTGAAAGTTCAGGGCCAGTGTAGGTCAACATCCACCCACTGGTCAGTTCCAGACAAGGAGGGGTCTGGCCTGGTCAACTTTGGCCACGGAAGGCTGTAGCCAAGGAAGGATGTCCCCAAGGTGAGATGTCAGGAACACTGGTGTCACTGGCGGGGGGAGGGGGTGAGGAGTTCCCCGGCAGGTGTCCAGCATGGGTTTGGGTGCAGAAGAGGGGACAGTATTTCTGGTGATGACATGGTTGGCATGTGGAGATGCGCCTGGTTCATATCCACGCACAGGTGAGCGTCTGGCTGCTTCTAGCTCTGCAGGTGATGGCCAAGGAAGTGATGGATGCCCGAGTCTGAACAGACTCCACCTTCACAGAGGGGATTATGGAGACTCCCGGCATGTGGACAGCGTTCCAGTTAGAGGGTTCCAGGCTGACATTAGAATAAGAGCTACTTGAATAAAAGAGAAAAACATAAGACCATCCAGTCAAGGGCTACGCAAACTCCCCGACCTGAAGAGTTTCAAACAGAGCCTCGACTCGGACCAAAAGCGCCGTTTCCACGTGTTAGAAACGGCCCCAGTGCGTGCAGATACTCCCAGAAGATTTCTTTCTTTTTAAAAAATTAAACTTTTAATTTTGAGATAATTGTAGATTCACACGCGGTTGTGAGAAATAATGTAGAGAGATCCCGTGTACCGTGTGCCGGGTTTCTCCCAAGGGTACCGTCTTGCAAACAGTATAGGACAATATCCGTGAGGGACGCTGAGATCCTAAGTGAAATGCACAACATTCCATCACAAAGATCCCTCTTGCTGGGCTTCTGGAGATATTAACACCCACCACCTCCTGCCCGCGGGCCCCGCTTCTCCCCGCAAAGTACGCACAGACTCCTTTTCCCTGTAACTCTGTTATTTCAAGAACACGCCGTAGGTGGGATCACACAGTGGGTAACCTTCAGGGATCAGTGCTTTTTCACTAATCGTATTCCCCAGATATTCGCTCATGTTGTTTCAAGGGTGAATTGTCGCCCTTTTTTTTTTTTTTTTTTTTTTTTTTGCGGTACGCGGGCCTCTCGCTGTCGTGGCCTCTCCCGTTGCGGGGCACAGGCTCCGGACGCGCAGGCTCAGCGGCCACGGCTCACGGGCCCAGCCTGCTCCGCGGCATGTGGGATCCTCCCGGACCGGGGCACGAACCCGCGTGCCCTGCATCGGCAGGCGGACTCTCAACCACTGCGCCACCAGGGAAGCCCTTTGTCATCGTTTTTTTTTACGGCTGAGTAGTTAAGTATTCCAGAGCCTGGGTGGATCTCATTTTGTTGAACCATGCATCCACTGCAGGACATCTGGGCTGTTTACAGTTTTTGCTCATCACGAATAAAACTGCTATAAACATTCGTGTATAGATTTTTGTATTACTCTTACTTTCTCTGGATAAACGCTCCAGAATGTAATTGCTCAGACGTAGGATAGCTGCACTTTTAGTTTTTAGTTTTGTTTTGTTTTTTAATATTATTAATTTCGATTGGAGTATAGTCGCCTTACAATGTTGTGTTAGTTTCTGCTGTACAGCAAAGTGAGTCAGCTATGTGTATACATTTATGCCCTCTTTCGGGGACTTCCTTCCCGT